ACACAGGGGAAGAGATTTCACTGGGAACAATGACAGAGCCTGTCACAAAATGTTCTCAGTGTTTCCATTTGTTACTATGGCAGTGACAAAGAGGGTTCCAAATGAAAAGGCAGGCCTGCTGTGACAAAGCACAGCAGGACAACACAAGAAATTTTCTCCTGACCTGGGAAATTAGGAAATCATACTCGGAGATTATAGAATTGTCTCTATTTCAAAAGGTACCTGGGCTTCTGAGAAGAACGTGAAGAGTGGTTCCATCAGGACTGGCCGGGGACAGATAAAGAGCAAAGGTTACAAAGTGCTTAAGACCTCCAAAGCGGAACAAGGAAGTGTGCTTGTCAGGGCTAGGGGGATTGTCACTGCCACTAAACCCTCGAGATAGGCAGAACTACGAATTTAATTTATGTACATGTGGGGTACTCATTTAAAAATTACACATGAAAATCCCTGACACAGTCGTGTATCTTTGAACTGCATGAAAGAAACACATGGCCCTCTGGTATTCAGCTATGTAATTAGCACGTGGGAGCTGGAGGGATGATTTATCCAAAAACCTGAAATTTATGAAAAGAAAATTACTGTCCTTCTGAGAGTTAAATCACCATAAAGTAGACTGGAATACAGATATGCAAAGTCACAAAGAAGGAAATACTCTTAGGCCAGCAAAACTTGAAAGTAACAGGATGAATATATTATCTCTCTAAAGATAGACTGTGTCAATCAGAAAGAGATATGTTAATTAGGCAGTGAGGCAAAGGAAAAAAAAAAACTTAAAAGTTGTCCTGGCCTCTCTATTTGTGTTTAGGGTCAGGAGAGTTTAACAGCTGGAGTCATCTCCAGTTCCAGTGGAGAAGTTCTCAGGGGTGTGGATGGGAGCAGAGGGTTTTAGCCAATGATTTTTTAAAAAGTATTTCAAACTAATAAGACCATTTCTACTGTAGGGAGCTTAGCCTGGTACCAGTGAGCACCCCTCAAATAAAACTGTGCTTATTTGGATTCCATGCTAACCAAGCAGGCTTATGATGTCGCTTTCTCTATCTCTGTAATGCAATCGATTCTACTTCTTAGCAAAAGCTGCTGGTTCTGAGTCACCAGAGACCACGGACCTTCGATTCTGTTGTTTCAGTTTCTCTTTCTCTTATGCAGTAGCTACCTTAGATTCCTCCGCACTCTTTCAGATAATAAAAGTCCCCTTCCTTCAGTCTGCGCAGATAACAGGAAGATTCTGTGTGACAAAAAGTAGCTTTTGTCAGGAGGGCAGGCCTGTGGTTCTGTCCCTTTTAATGATGAGTCTTCTCCAAATGTCTGGAGAGCAGTGTAATGAAATGGAGATTCCCTTACTTGAGAGCAGACTGCCTGGGTTTGAACCCTGCCTCTGCTACGAGACCACGGGCAGGTTTTCCAACTGCTCTTTGGCTTAGTTTGCTAATCAGCAAAATAGAGTAAAAAAACCAAAACAAACAAACAAAAAAACCCCACAATTGTGAGAGGATTTTTCTGAACACTGAATATATTGTTAATATACGAGAAATGCCTGGCCATTAGTGTACCATATGAAGGGTACACATAGATTGTGCCAAATATACCAGCCCGAGGATCCATCCATTAACTGTGTGCTTATCTCATTGCATGCCAGTGGTTTTCAAGACTGATTATCCGGGAACTAGGCAGAGTCTGTTTAAAATGAGAAAACTGGCTTCTACTGGAGGGATTACCGGCCTGCCTTCTATGTTCTCTACTCTGTGCAGTGAAACCTGGATCCGCTGGAAATAAAGTGAGGAAGCTGGCAGTGCTCACAGAGGGGTCAGCAAACTACAGCCAGTGCGCTGAATCCAGCCAGTGGCCGGCTAGAAAGCAAAGAAAGGTATATACCTATCTTCGTTTGTTTGTTTTTGTTGTTTTGAGACAGGGTCTCACTAGGTAGTCCTGGCTGGCTTTGAACTCACTATGTAACCCAGCCAGGCCTTAAACCCATGGTAATCTCATGCCTTAGCCTCCTGAGTGCTGGAATTTCAGGTGTGCACTACCACATCTACTATATATATATATATACATATATATTTTTTTTTTTGTCTTTTTCCTTTTTATCAGTATTGGGGATCGAACTCACGACTGCCTGCTTGCAAAGCAGGTGCTTGTGCCACTGAGCTAAATCCACAGCCTCCTACTTTTTATATTTTAAGTATTATAAAATTAAAGAAAAAATCCAAGCAAGACAAGAAAATGAGCAGTATAACCTGTATGTTAGTTGCAAAAATTAAACTATTCACTATCTATTCCTTTACCAAAGAGAAAAAAAGTGTAGACTCCTGTCTCTAGGCCTATTTCTTTTGTACTTACCTAACTATATACCTTAGCAATAAATCTAATGAGGTTAGGTAAGTGGAGACAGATACGAAGGTGGAGCCTCTACAGAAAACTCCAGCTGCTTTGATGGAGCTCACTCATCTCCATAACCGCAGTGTGCCTGGGAGTGGGCTCTCCTGCCCTCTTCAGCCTCTCCAGCCCTCAGTGTCCACGCATTCTTACTGGGCGCAGCACTGGCAGCTTTACAGATAGGGAGGCATGTGCTATTGTAGGCTGAGGAAGCCCAGAGCCCTTGGATCAGCTTCGGTAGTTTACTAGGTTACCGTCATATCTGACAGTCCTTGTGTCCTACTGAATGTCAATGAAATAGAATATTTATTTTACAGATCCTAAAGTACTTGAGTAATGTACACACAGGGTACAGGTGTCAAGTGTCTAAGTTTTTGGACTATGATTCTTTTTATTTTTTTGGTCTTTTTGAGCTTTGAGGAATCTAATGCTTTCTAGAGAAAGCTATGCAGCTCAGGCTGGCTTTGAGCTTATTTTGTAGCCCAGGCTGGTCTGGAACTTGCAACCATCCTCTTGCCTCAGCCTCCCAAGTGCTGCGACTATACGTATGTGCCACTATGCCCAGCTGGACTACGATTCTTGATTCAGTCAACTTTCAACCAGAAAATTGCTACTGTATCCTTGCTTGGTGCATTGGCCTGTACCTATAATCCCAGCTATGGGAGACGCTGAGGTAGGAAGATCAAGACCAGCTTGGGGCAACTTAGAAATGCTGTCTTAAAAGAATAAAAAAAAGAGGGGGCTGGCGGTTTAGCTCAGCGGCATAAGCACCTGCCTTGCAAGCAGGTGGTTGTGAGTTCAATCCCCGGTACCGATAAAAAGGAAAAAAAAAAAAAAAAAAAAAAAAGAATAAAAAAAGAATGTAGGTACCATTGTTACCCCCCCATTGATATACTTTAAAAAAAAAACAATAGCCAGGCATAAGGGCCTGCCTAGCAAGTGTGAGGTTGTGAGTTCAATCCCCAGTACAAAAAAACAAACAAACAAACAAAAAAAAATGAGCTGGAGACATAACTCAGTGGTAGAGCCCTTGTCTAACATGTGTGAAACCCTTGGTTCACTCCCAGTATTATCAGGGGATGGGTTAAGGAGAGAAAACTACTATTGTCCTTAATGTATTATAAAATATGGCTTAATTCTGAATAAAAATATATATTCACATATATGTATATACACACATATACATAAATACATATACAGAGTTTCACTACACAGTTCAGGCTGGACTTGAGCTCACTTTGTAGCCCAGGTTGGCCTTGAACTCACAGTGATCTTCCTGCCTCAGCCTCCTGAGTGCTGGAATTACAGATGTGTATCATCATGCCCAGTGTGAATAAGATATTTTTAGTTTATATAGATTTATAGCTCCAAAGAGCATGGAATAGGATTTTTTTTTTTTTTGTCTTTTTGAGACAGGGTCTCATTATTCAGTTGAGGCTGGCCTTTAGTTCACTTTGTAGCCCAGGCTGGTCTCGAACTTGCAAGGATCCTCCTGCCTCAGCCTCCTGAGTGCTGGGATTATAGGCATCATGTGCCACTATGCTAGCCTAGGAATAGGAAAATTAGTTGCAAAATATTCTAAAGGTACCTATGATATAGCTCAGATGAAGGAAATAAAAAAATGCAAGCTTGATAGTGAAACAGAATGTTACCTTTTGTATGTACTCTTTCCAGAGAATATAAGGGCATGTGTGTTACAGTTCATTTAAAATCGGGGTAACAATGAGTGGTTTCAGGAAAAAAATTTTTTTGACAAACATCATTAAAACAAAGGAATATTAAAATATTAAATTAAACTATCATACAAAACTAAGTTTCCCATGAGTCATATTATCCTCCAGGAAAAGGGAGCACTAGCCACCCCCATTTGCCTTTTTACCTTGCTTGATACTATGAGAAAGAAAGAGATCAGGGGAGACCCCTTTGGGCTATCTTTGAGGAATCTAAACCTTCCTGCAGAAAGCTAACCTAGCTTAACTGCACTTTAACTGTAAGGAATTTAGACTCATCAAAAGAACCTTTGAATCGGATTTCAGATCAATCTAAGTCAGCAAGCTAAAAACCTGTGTCTTGATCTTATTTTTGAGTATTCATTCGTAAAATGATCTAGTCCTTATCAAATCTGCTAGTTTTCACTGAGTCTAAAGTAGGCCAAAAGTTAACCCTTTGCAGGAATAAACGCCACCATTGTGTTAGAAACAGCTGGATAACCAAAGGATACAATGTAAAGACATCAGCCTCAGTTATTTGCATGCTGCTGGGTATTCATCGCAATTTGTTTTAAAGAACAACAACGTGTTAACATTTCGGCCCAAAGGGCTCTGAATGTACTGTCTACTGTACTTGATGCAGCTTGCTTATGCAATGTTCTGACAGATACAATTAATCTTGTGAAAATGACTGGGGTGTAGCATAATAGCAAATTATCATTGCCAAACACACATTTTTCCTGGAGTACAATCCCCTCCTAATACAATGGTCGTGGCAGATGGAAAGAACATTAGGAGTTAATTATTTAAAAGAAGAAATTAAAAGTTATTAAGTTAATAAATCTTGGCTACGCAATACAGAGCAGGGTTAAAACGTTTAACTTATAAGTAAATAGGAAATAAGTGAGTCTGTACCTCCAACGAATGCATCTCCAGCTCCATTGGTGTCAACAATTTCTTTCTGGTCTTGATCCAAGACAGGAAAAGCAGTGACTTCACTTTCTGCAATTAGAGCCAAAGAAAGGCAGACTGACTTCTTTTTGTTACACTCAATACAGTGTCTGAGCGCCCCTGAGTAAAGTTGGATGCTCCTTCCACGTCCACCATTCAGAGAGTCACAAATTTTGTGTTCTATATTAGAACACTTGGAAACCAGCATTCAGAGTCACATGCAAGCAATACTCTTTGTGATTTTAGGCACACAGACCCTCTACGTGACTTGTGAGAGCTACTCCTAGGTGGCTCATGTTTTGGGTTTGATTACAAGTGGCAGTAGTGCCTTTTTTGGGCAGCACAAATGGCGGCCCAGAGACTACGACCTAAAAGAGTGCTTGTATAGAATGGATCATGGTCTTTAACAAAGTTCAAGCTTGACTGCATTTATGGCAGTTAAATCTTGGGTAGAGCTAAAAGTTATAAATTTAAAAACTTTGAGTAGTGAGTCTTGGGTGCTCCTCTACAGAAAGTCACAATGGAATTATAAAAACCTCCCTGCTATTCAGTTGCGGTACTTCATGCCAAGGTGTTACACTATTGATGTTAGTAGGCTTATAGCAAATAAGCTAATCTGGTGACTCTTTGGCAGAGGAGTCACGGTCAGCTAACCAAAGGGAAGCAACCTCAAATGCATGGGCAGAACAAAAGAGACAGCACGAGGCGTGCTCCTTTTGGTGCAGTCTGGAGCCAGGCTTGTTTTGACTACAGAGTAAGCTAATGTAATACTTTCTGCGTGGCACATGGTAGTTCTGGAGTTATTTGTGATGAAATCTGGCTTACAGGACATCTGCAAGTGATTGGACAGTGTTTTTTTCTTTTATTGGGGGTGGAATTTCTGTAATCACAAATTTGTATTTCTTATGGGGACAGACAGGGCTGCTGTCTTGCCAAGTTCAGTCTCTCCTAAGAACCAGAAAGAGGTAGAAGGGATCTTGGAAACCTTAAAAAAAAAATCTGAACACCCAATCTCAAGAAATATAAACAGCACATTCTAATCTTTTGCTACCTACTACAATTGAATACTTTCAACAAGAGGCAAAAACAGGTATCTTAATAAAGAGGACTCGTTTATTTAGTGATCCCTTTGACTACTAACAAAAGAAGTGACTCTATACAAGCTACTTACACCAGAAGCATCCATTTAAACTTTTAGTTTAAACTTTTAGTGACTAAACTTTCCACACTTTGCAACACGAGGACCTGCACAATGGTTAGTAAGATTTTGATTAATTGGCAGCTAAGGCACAAATATACACGATTAAACTTTCTAGGGAGTTTACAGTATACATGGCAACATGGATCACAAAAGGGAGATATAACCAAGCTTTATTAGAAATAATTGGGAAAGGGCTACTGTCTGACTTAGGAAAAATATCTGTACCGTAAGTATTTATAGAGAAATATGGTTTTACTACTTCCAAGTACAATTCATACTCTAAAGGGAACTCACAGCTATGAACGTACAATAGGAATTAAATAAAGTGAGCTAAGTTAATGACGCCGTTACTGTTTTTGTTTTTTAAGATAGAGTCTCTTGCTATGTAGTACTCAAAGTTGACCTCAAACTTGTAGTGATCCTCCTGCCTCAACCCCTGAATGCTAGGATGGCAGAAATGTGCTACAATGTTGGCTAGATAAGGTCTGATTTATGCATAAAACCTAATTTATAGTGGAAGAAATTATTTTGAAGTTTTTTTTTTTTTTTGTCTTTTTGAGACAGGGTCTCGCTATGCAGTTCAGGCTGGCCTTGAGCTCATTTTGTAACCCAGGCTGGTCTCAAACTTGCAACGATCCTCCTGCCTCGGTATCCTAAGTGCTGGGATTACAGGCATGCATGTACCACCACGCCTAGCTCTTGAAGTTTGTTTTTAAGAGCAAACTAAACTGGTCTACACTGCTGAAAATTCTAAATAAATGCAATTTTAGTTTTTTCTGGGTATGTGTGTGCTGGTCATTGATATGCTACATCTTTTTTCTTTTTTGGGGGGGGTACTGGGAATTGAATTTGGGATCTTGTGCTTGCCAGGCAGGCACCTGTGTCACTGAGCTATATCCCTGGCCCAATATACTATATCTTTTGTTGTCATAGATAGTTAAATTTCCTGAAACATAGTCAAATTACTTTCCATCTGTCATTCTTACTAGTACAAATAAGTAAGAATATTATGTATGTAGGAGACGTACCATAAATTCTGTGTAGATAGAGTACTGTATTATGAGAACTCTCTTCAAAATAATGATCCTGAAATGTGTTCTGAGTCACTGAAGGAGGAGTACACAGTGTTTAATAATGTTTAAATTCAATTACGCTTTTTGTACCTTCCACATTTCTGAAAGGTGCTGATCTGAGCTGGTTCACAGAACTGTTTAAAAAAACCCACATAAATAAATGACAATACTGACCAACACGACCTATTCCACGACCGTCCTCTAGACACTTTAGCATACAGAGTGTTCAGACGAAGCTCACGAACTCTCGAGACACTGAGAAGCACGGACACAGCTCAGCTGGTGAAGCCAAGCCCCTCACTCCTCCTGTGACCCACTGCCATCTATCTTTCTTGAGTGTGGAATGGGCTTCTAGCAGCTGTGGGAACAAGCAGCAGAAACGAGCTTTCCTTCCAATGTGAGTTTATTAGCACATGTGTTGCAGGACACAGTGTCTGTGTTTCTCTTGGGGGGTTGGCACACGTAAGTGGTACATTACACACATGCACCAACTCCAGCAAGGGATGGAAGCATCGTGTACTGCAAACATGATAGAAACTAGCTTTCTGTCTCTTTTGTTTGTTGGGAGACAGGGTTCCCCTGTGTCGCTGAGATTGGCCTTGAACTTACTACATAGTCTAGGCTGGCCTCCAACTTGTGGCAATCATCCTGCCTCTGCCTCCTGAGTGCTGGGTTTACAGGTGTGCGCCATCACACCTGTCTTTCAGACTTCTATAAGACCTACTTCAGTCATGAGCACCTCCGAGCAGACAGGTGACAAACAGTAGCAATTCAGTGGATATCAGATGTGTTTCACTTCAATTATTAGACAATTTATCAGGATACTTCATCCAAAATAATATAATTCATCTTACTTAAAAATGATCAATTTTGGGGGCTGGAGATTTAGCTCAGCGGCATAAGTGCCTGCCTTGCAAGCAGGCAGTCGTGAGTTTGATCCCCAGTACCGGTAAAAAGGAAAAAGACAAAAAAACAAACAAACAAACAAACAATTTTAGATGGTGTCTAGACAGCTTAAACAAACAATTTACTCTTCATTTGAATATGACACAAGGTCAGCACCCAATCTGACTTAAGAGGTTAGTCTAGCTAGAAAGAAAACACCTTCATGCATCTACTACAAAGTCAATCACAGAACAGAGTTGTGTTTGTACAAATGCCCTCTCAGATACAATATTTAATTTCAAAAAGTTGACTCAATGCCAAATAACTGGATTAAATGTGTCTGTATCCTTGCAACCACTGAGTTATATATTTTAGTATTATACATACATCCTCAAAATAACTAATATTCTCAAAAAGTTTTACGCCAAGTTTCCCCACCCCCCCAGAAGTGCGACTGAACCCGGTCCTTTATACTCCCCACATGCTTGCCCTTCTGTAAACTGTTTTTCTTCTGAGATGGCGCCTCCATCTGTAACTAGCATGGGCTGGGCTTGCTACACACTGGCTACTCTTTTCTGCCTCAGCCTCCTCCGGTGCTGGGATGAGAGACTTCCAAGTAGTTTAATTCAATGTTCTGCACTGGCTTGTTGATGCAGACTCTAAATTGTAGAGAAGTTTTAACAAAAGAAGATCCACAGCAGTTTGTTCTTCAAGATCAAAATATAACCCGTAATCCTAGCACTGGGTAGGCTGAAGCAGTATGCAAATTTGAGGCCCGCCTGGGCTACTTAGGGCATTCAAGGCCCTGAACTACATATCCAGATCCTGTTTCAAAACAAACAACCTGCCAGGGATTTAGCTCAGTGGCACAAGCATCTGCCTGGCAAGTGTGAGGTCGTGAGTTCAATCCCTGGTACAAAAAAGAAAGAAAGAAAACAAAGAAAACAAACAAACCAACAAACAAGATCAACATATAATTAAGCTGCCATCTGACTCAGTGACAAAAGACAGAAAAGTAATAAAGCTTCATCAGAAAGTGATAAGTATGATGGTGTAAAGCCCTGAACAGTTAAGATGCTCAAGAGAAGTTATTGTGTCCTGGTCATTCCACACAGTGAAGCAATTTAGAGCATGTTAATGTTTACTTTTTTTTTTTTTTTTTTAATTTTGACGGTAGTGGAAATACAACAGAACAAGACAGAACAAAGCCAACAGAGACAGTGCAGTGAAATTGGTACAGAATGTCATAGTAGGATACCGGGATAACAGTAATAGGTATCACAGTATATCTCGTTATCGTCACAATATTGTCCATTCAATCAGGTAAAGCAAAATCAAACCAAAGACAACAGTATAAAACCAATCGAAAGAGAATATTGAATAGAGTAAAACAACTGATCATATTGAAACAAAACAGTGAAAACAACATTTGCTTTCAAACAGAAGATAGAAGGAGATCCCCCATATTTGCTATATTGCATACGGTCATCCTCCCAAGAGATGCTGAGACCTCCGTGTGCAGTGCTAAGGGAGGGGTCGGGATGTTTGATTCCCAGCCTAGGCACCAGCAGGCTCACAGGAGCGGCTGACTGAGAAGTGCTTACCAAGAAGGCAGGTGAATTGCGTCTTTGTGCAGCCTCCTGGGTTCCACCATAGCTGTCTGTTTACTTGGTTTTTAAAAACCTTTTGTTTGGAAATTATTTTATTTTCTTGACAGGATTTCACTAAATTGTACACGCTGCTTTTGAACTTGTGATCCTCCTACCTCAGCCTCCCCTGAGTTCTGGGTTTACAGGTGTGTGCCACCATGCCGGTTAGATTGGAAAGAATTTCGACTAACAGAAAAGTTATAAGAAAAATACAAGAAATCTCCATGTAACACTGATACCGAT